ATATAATACAGCCGACGGGTTCAAAATCTTCACGCCACTTTTTGCACGTGACAGAATTCGACATCCCTAAAACTATATCGCTATTTCACACAAAAACAGAAGACTTATGCTAACGCTAAGGTGCATGTGACAGTTTTTTGTTACAGTTCAACCTCTCAAAGTGAATATTTCAATTTCCCTCATATCTTTCTTCGCTTACCTTTCCGCCTCGTTCCCGCCCCTCCATTGTGAATGATACCTCCTCCTGCGCAAGTTCTGAAGCACAGGCTTTTGTCTGGTTTACTCCAACCGATCTACGTCGTGTGTAAATAAGTGGTCAGAACGAGTAGTTCTTCTCTCCAGCCCCCTCTCATTCTTTCATACACTCTAAATTCTTTGACAAATTGAAGCTAGTCCCATAGGCACGGCTATCGGTGAAAGTCTCACAGAAATGCGGCAAAGGCGATTCTGGTCCCTTTGAATAATGGGCGGCTGTTACAAACAACAGGACCAAAACGAATCACAGATGAATTGGTACTGTCAGAAATGTCTATCGAATTCAGACTGAAACAAGAACTACTGGCCATTACAGCAAGTGCACCACTGAAGACAAGCTGTGTGGTGGCGCACGCTCGGATAACACTTAAAAAAAGATAACCGGATCATTCTCGGAGAAATAGCGCGTGTACGTGAAGAAGATGACATCACAAAGGGGAGCGAGATGGAAGAGAGCCTGGCACAGCTGCGCCTGTCGCCTTCCACGTCTCAGTAACAACGATGGCCTCAGGCTGCAATTTCAGGACGAGGAAGCCTGAGATCCACACAGACAGCGTGTTGGGCAACTAACTAAAACAGCAAAGAACGAAGAGACCAAAAGATACTTCATCACCTCTTTTTACTTTTTCTAGTCGCATTTTTGCTTACCCTTAAATTGAAACAACGAGAACGCGCAACAAGAAGCGCTAGTGATGCCGCAAATTCAACTTACAACAACCAAACTGATGGAAGAGGGCCTTTCCTGCAACAGGGGACACTGGAATGCCCGCGTTGCGTAGATCCACGAACACATCGCAATCTCCAAAGCATCAAAACTGATGCAGAACTGCTCCGGGTGTCCCACTGCACAATGAAAATGAGCTACAAAAGTGGGTGAGAAACGAGACACGTAGCGACCTCCTGACCGTGTTGGACCAAGCGTAGAAGGATATCAACCTAAGAACGGCAAACACGGCACAAGGCCCAATCCGGCTCTGACTAACGAACGAGGCATAGGTACCGAGTCAAAAGATGGTGAGAGAGGCACGGAGTACCGGACTGGCAACGGCGCACGAGGCACAGGGTAGCAACCAGGCGCAGTTGGAGACGAGAAAAGGAGCATGTACTACCACCAGCCAAACTGTTATGAACTTAAAGGAATCGCTGTTCTCTTGCTG